CAATCCACTCACCTCAGCCTCCCAAGGTGTGGGATTACAGGCTGAGCCACCGAGCCAGGCTCGGCTGGGTTCTTAATGCCTCTCCTAGAAGAGAAGGCATCGAGGGGAGGGTCTTCTGACCCATTAGCCTTATCCCAGGCCCCAGCCTTCAGGCCCTGGCCACACCTGGGCCTGAATAATGCAGGGCCCCAAAATGGGGGCAGTCAGGGTACAGAGCTGAGAGAGAGGCAAGGCTGAAGTACACAGCAGTGTGGGTGCAACTGGATTTAGAGGCTGCCCAGATGCTCCTGAGCAGAAAAGAAGGGGGTTAGGCAGAGTGGAAGGATGATAAAGGAAAGAGATCTCACCTGCATTGGGTGAAGAAGACAAAGTGCAAGGGGCTTGTGGGAGAGGGTCTGTCCTTCCACCATCTCCTCCCACTTCTCCCAACCAAAGTGGACCTGGACCTAAAGAACCCTCCTGGGAGCCGGGCTCGGTGGCTCAGCCTGTAATCCCAGCACTTTGGGAGGCCCAGGCGGGAAGATCGCTTGAGGCCAGGAGTTCTAGACCAGTGTGGGCAGCACAGGGAGACTTCGTTTCTACAAAAAATAAAAAAAATTAGCCAGGTATGGTAGCGCATGCCTGTCGTCCCCCAGCTACTCAGGAGGCTGAGGCAGAAGGATCACCTGAATCCAGGAGGTTGAGGCTGTGGTGAGCTGTGATCATGCTACTGCACTCCAGCCTGGGCGACAGAGTGAGACTCCAAAAAAAAAAAGAACCCTCCTGGTGAGAGAGAAATCTGGCAATGAAGCCCAAAGTGAGAACAGTAGTAGACAAACTTCAGCCCAAAGGAGAGGAGATCAGGTGGGTCTGTACTGGGCGAATGGGGCTTTAGTTCTGTAAAAAGTATGCCACTACAAAAATATTATCTGGGTATGGTGGTAGACGCCTGTGGTCCCGGCAATTCAGGAGGTTGAGGCAGGAGGATCATTTGAGGCCAGATGTTTGAGGTTACAGTGAGCTATGATCACACCACTGCACTCCAACCTGGGTGACGAAGTGAGATCCTGTCTTTAAAAAAAAAAGTGTTGAAAAGGCTGAGGCAGAAGGATAGCTTGAAGTCAGGCATTTGAGACCAGCCTGCACAATATAGCAAGACCAGACCCTGTTTCTCTTTAAAAAAATTTTTTTTAATAGCCAGATATAGTAGCATGTGCCTATAGTCCTGCAACTCAACAGGCTGAGGCAGAAGAATCGCTTGAGCCCAGGAGTTTGAGGCTGCAGTGAGCCATGATCATGCAACTGCACTCCAGCCTGGGCAACAGAGTGAGACCCTGTCTCTAAAAACAGAAAACAAACAAAAAAAAGTAAACCACAAGCCAGGGATTGGCTCTCACTTTCCTTTACCCCCACCCTCAAACGGAGCCTCCCATCTCTTCCCCTATCTTTCCACCACCCCCATGAGCACCTCGGTGAGGCTTGGTAGAAAGGTGGCCAGGGCACAGTTAGGTGTTGGCAGACTCAATTAAGAGCCACGCTAATCACCTTCATTAAGGCTATAAAACCCCACACCTAGGGGCCGTGGGGCTCCCTGGCATGGCCCAGGGCTCCGAGCCATGGCACAGACCCAGGGGCCCAGCTCCAGTCCCTTTCATCTGAGCATCTCCCAGTCCTGCACAAACAGTAATTAGTGCCCGCCTCCAGGGTCACCTCATTATCCCACAGACACTGAGTAGAGGGGAGGAGTGAGGGAAGGCAAGGAGGAGGGAAACTGAGGCTACCCAGTAGCCAAAGAAACTGCCCCAGGGTTGTGGGCTGAGTCAGCTGGGGGCTGGGAAGAAATTGCTGCAGAATCAGGCAGTCCAGCCTCCTCCTGCCTTCCCTTCCATCCTGGTTGCTTAGACGGCCATTGGCCTAATATTCTAAGGGCCCCAGAGTTGAGTCCTCTCTCCTGAGAGGATGGGCTGATTAGCAAGCCCCAGAGAACCGACAGCACCTCCCTTAGATCTGACCAGACCCTGCAGGTTATATCCTGTGCCCAGTCTCAGGGCACCCACGGTGATCAAGGTCCTATCAAGACTCCTCCAAGGTCAGGTGATCCATCCCTGTGACTGTCCTCTGTCCCCTAAGGTCCCCATTCCCAAACCCCACAGCCTGGTCTCCCAGAAGCAGTGGTTCATCCTCCTCTTCTTCCATCCTCTTCCCTCAGAGAGAGAAACAACAAAACCCACTTGGACTATCGTGTGCCCCAGAAGTAACCCACAGTCCTGCTTGTTTATTTCAGGGTAGTACCATGAGGAATGGGAATATTGAGGGCTCGGTGTTAACAGGTGAGTGAGACTCTCCATTGCCAGGGCCATGATGACAGTTGCAAGCGTCAAACAGTACAATTTCATACTGCGGCTTCACACTGTACAAACACCGGACCCAGAGTGTCCTCCGACTTCATCTCTCCATGACTGCCTTTTTAAGGTCACTGCCATCAGTGTCCCCATTCTAAAGAGAATAAGACTGAGGCCCATGTGCCATGTCACACAGCTAGTAAGGGATGGAGCCAGCATCACAGCACAGGGTATGTCTCACTGGAGAGTCTTCACAACCTCCTTCCACCCCCATCCTTCCCTCAGCAGCCCTCTCTTGGATCCCAGCCCTGAGAATATATATATCCTCCATCCAACTTCGAGAACGTTTGAGTGGTGAGCCGGCCTCCTGCAAAGGACTCGGCATCAAGCCGCAACTCACTGCCTGGTGAAGAGGCATAGGCCCGGGCACCAGAGAGGCCTGGCTTGCAGTCCCAGCACCACATCGTATTATAAGCCTGGCTTAACCTCTCAGAGCCTCAATTTCCTCATTCGGAAAGTGGGAGGACAAAGGAGCGGTCGTCAGTGAAGGCACAGAGCCCAGGGCCTGCCCCACAGCAGTGGCTCAGCATGTGTGAAACCCCCTCCCTTCCTCTTCACCCTCATATCTCTACCCTTGAAGGTTTCAAAGGGGGGTTCTTCAGGAAAGCCCTAGTGAGAGGGGTCAGTCTCCATCTCCCCTGAGGATAAATTGCCAATCGCACAGAACCAGTGAGTCCTCACTGCAGACGTGTCCATGCAGAGCCGAGGTCACCAGTCTTTGGCAGCGTGGAATATGCCCACCCTCAAGCCCACTCGGCAACCCCCACGCCCCCCAGCTTCACCAAAAGCTGGCCGGTCCCATCTGCCCTTCATACCCATACCCACGAGGAGACTCTCTGGCACCCACGTGTGCTCAGAAGTCTCTCCCAGCCCTGGCAGTGCTTTACCCACATTTACACGCACACCAACAGAAACCCTCCAAAACAGCCTGGAGTGTTCGTACGCCTGCTCTCCCATGCACACACCTGTCCCAAGTGTAGATGCCAATCCACACGGCTCTCGGCATATCCCTCTCTGTTCTCACTCTTAGTATACACGTGCATGCATGCATGAGCGCACACACACACACACACACACACACACACACACACACACACACACACACACACACATCTGGTCTGCAATCCAAAAATGCAAGGAAAGATGAATAGTCCGGAATTCCCCTAGCTGTTGGCACGTTGGAGGCCTCAGTGGCCGGAAGTGCACAATGAGGGACTCTTCCAACGGCTCAGGGCAGCAAGTTGTGCTTTTGTTTAATGATCAGGAGAGGGAGGGAGGGGGAGATGGTCATAAAGTACCAATTCCCACTCCCACCAACATCCTCAGTGCAAACGCTCCTTCCCACCCACCCCAGGAAGGTTCTTGGCTCCAGCCTGGCTTTCCTCCTTGGAAAGGGAGATGGAGAGAAGGAAGGGCAGAGGAAAGGGGCAAAGCACTCCAGGAAGGAGGCCCACCTTGAAAGACCCCGGCAGGGCTAGCAGAGCCCCAGTTCCCTGCATAGACTCGGGGAAAGGATGAGGGATGTCCCCGCCCCACTTTTCTCCCCGAAAAAGACCAGCCTTCTGGAGGGAGAGAGAAGGGGCTAGAGATGGGCCATCCCCCCAGTGCCCCAAGCGCCCAGCTCCTACGGCTCCCACGATCAAACCTTTGAACCAAGTCCCACCCACCCCCGTAACCACTTCCAGATCCTCCAGACACAGCCAAGAAATTGGCTTCTTTGGGGATTGAGTTCATAAGGAAATGCCGAAAAAATAAATAAAAATTCGCTGCCAAGTACACTCGCAGAGGAAGATGGGTTTCTCTTGAGACAGGAAATCCATCAGTATAGACTAAAGCAAAAACAGGACAGTACCAACACCCAGCCCAGAAAGGTTTGGGAACCACTCCAGCACCCAAGTCCTTCAAGCCAGCCCAGGGTGTTTCCTCTTGGACCACCTTCTCCCCCACCCTCACCCCCCAGATATAGGTACTTCTTAATGAAGATTCTGAAGGTGAGATCTCACCAAATATAAATCCTAGTGGTTTGCACTGAGTGAGCCCCCATCTGGGACCTCAGGGAGGTCAGCAGGGACCATGGGAAGACACGGTGCTCTGCCCTGGGTAGTGTGGGATGTGGTGCCCACCACTCTCCTCCTTTTCCCCACAGAATACGGTGCTCCCACCCCACCACCACAGACCGGCTTCCATCGCTACCAGTTTTTCCTCTATCTTCAGGAAAGAAGGAACATCACTCTGCGTCCCCAGGAAAGCCCTTATCGACGTAAGGCCTTCTCATTCTTCCAGCCATAGCCAGAGTGAATTCTGGGGTGAAACCAATGCTTTATGCATTCATGGGGAAGCCAGGACTCCAACCTCCACCTATGAGCCTTGGAGACCAGAGTCAAAGGATGGTGCTTCTTGGGAGCAAACTGGAATGAGTACCCTAAAAAAGATGTTGACATCAGATGTCGTCTCCCCTAAGAAGTAAAGCTCTGACTGGGCTGGTTGGTATATAAGGCAGGGTCCCAAAGGAGTGACTGGTGTCAGGGAGAAAAACACCCCCGAAACCTTGCATGACATGTGCAGGCAGATACCCCAGAACACCTTGGCAGATAATTGTACCCTGTAATTGAGTCTGATCTGGGCAAGAGGGCCCTGGAATGCCACCCTGCCGGTCTACCTTCATTGGTCGCTAATTGCTGGGTCTGCCTGTGCCATCTCAGTGGTGGGGCAAAGACTTCCCCAGTCACACCCCCTCCACTGGGTTCTCTGAATAGCCTTCCTTGGCCTCTGGAGTGGACACTCTCCCCATAGCCTCCTGATGGCTAAACCAGCCTGTTTGGCTTCCATCCTCCTTCTGCCAGGGCCAGGGAGTAGGAAGAATCATGGATACTTGGCCACCGCAACATGCAGCAGGCTCTTGTGACCCTGTATGAGCCATGCCCCTCACCCCCCCCATCTGAGCCTTAGATTTCTCTTCAGGAAAAGGAGAATAAAGTCAGCCCTGTGCACTCTATCATGCCCCCCTCCCAATTTTAGAGAATGGAAGATAATGCAGAACGCACAAATGTCAATCTGAGAGTGTGAAGAGCACATCCCCCAGGCTGGCGGGAAAGTGAGTGGGAGGGTGGGTGTCATCAGCCATTTCCTCTCACCCAGTGACCCTGACCAAACATCCACCCACTGGGAAGCCAGCACAGGCATTGTTACAACCCTGACGCCCGAGGCCCTAAAGGTGAGGAACGTGGAGCCCAGAAAGGCACTGGTTGAGCGATGGAGCCCTTCAGATGTGTGCCGAGCAGTGGCTGCCAATCACAGAGGCTGCAGGCTGCCCTGGGAGTGGAGTTGGTGCAAACTTTCCACCGGTGAACCCTCCCCAGGTGCCCTCAGCACCCTGCCAATCTATAAATCTGTGTAGACGGCTTTGCCAAAGACACACTTTTAAGTTGACATGCAAAGAGAAGGAAACAAGAAATGTATCTTGCCTAGGCCAAGAAAAACTCCTCCAATGCCTGGGTACCAATCTCACTAAAAATATCAGGACCTAGGCTGGGCCTGGTGGCTCATGCCTGTAATCCCAGCACTTTGGGAGACCAAGACGAAAGGATCGCTTGAGCCCAGGAGTTTAAGACCAGCCTGGGCAACATAGCAAGACCTTATCTTTACTAAAAATCAAAAAATTAGGCAGGCATGGTGGCTCACATCTGTCGTCCCAGCTACTCGGGAAGCTGGAGCAGCAGAATTGCCTGAGCCCTGGAGGTCGAGGCTGCACCCAGGCCACTGCACTCCAGCTTGGGTGACAGATTGAGACCCAGACTCAGAAAAGGGAAAAAAAAAATAAAGTCAGAACCTCAGCCTGTGACATTCTCCCACCCATGGGATTCTCATAAAGCGAAGTCTATGAGACTTCAGGGTCTCAACGTCCACGCCCTGGGGGGAGCCTTTCAATAGGTCACGTGCTTTCTGAGGGCAGGATGGAGGGGAAGGACAGAGCATCAAATGATGCCAGGAATAGAGACAGGGGCAAGGGAGGAAGGGAGCCATATACAACAAAGAACTCCCAACTCTGTATCCCAGGGCTCCTTAGAATTGACCGCAGCATGTCCTCCCGAAAACATAGTGACCAGCAAAGTCCTGACCTGCCCACCCAAGACACTGATGGCGAGGCAGGAAACTGGAAACCAATCAGTCCTGAAACCCACTGTGTGTCCCTTTGGGTCTCGTGCATTTCCCTCCTCGTCCCCCCACAACCCAGCTCTCTTCCATGGAGAACTTTGAAACTGGACTTGCATCTGGGCAGAGTCCCTCTGGATCCTGTGCTGTTTTGTTTGCTGCTGGAAATGAAGGTGAGAAAATGATGATCCCAGATGAAAATGGTCTCACCATGAGCTGCCTTCCATGTGCCCAGAACTATGCTGGGAACTTCAGAGAGGACACAATTTGAGGGCACTAGGAATTTTCCCTGCCCTCAAGGGGCTTGCAGTCTACTTTGGAAACGATTAGCTAATGATGCAGAGCGGCATATAATTAAGCACTTAATTGTGTGATTTTTGACCGTGTGGACAACTGGAGCTGTCCTGGGACTCAGGGAGCTCCTTCCTTCCTAGCGTCCTCTTCCCTCCAGGAATGGCACACCCTCTTCAGCCAGGGAGTGTGCAAAGGTGTTTCATTGCAGGGTGAGGCAACCTTGACTTCCATTCTCTAGCTAGTGATTTGACTTTGGGGTCAATCACTGGGCCTCAGTTTCTTTATCCACAAAAAGACAAATTGACTCTAGATGATTACAAATCTCTGTGGGCCTGAGGCCACATTGTGAAGATTGGGGCATGGCTAGGGCCTAGAGAAGGAGGAGATTTGAATCCTTGAGTGGAGGGAAGCCATAGATGCACAGATTTTTATTTTTTCAAGTGAGAAAACGAGGAGGAAAGGAGAAGACAAAAGAAGGTTGTGAAGGTTCTGGAAAGCTCCGCAGAGGAGTGGTTTTGAGGCTCGACCATGAGGAACCATCAGAGATTATTCACCAGAGAAGTAACCACAAAAGTCACTCTCTGGAGATGACTAAGCTGGAGCGTTAGGCAGAACCAGCCAGAGTGAGAGGACAGGAGGCCACCAGAGGCACTGAGATGTGAGGCAGCAAAGGCCCAGCCTGGCATGGGTGTACCCGGGGCAATTGCAAAAGCAGAAACGGCAGGCCCTTGCACAATGTCAAAACACCAAGGGCCTGGCACTCTCTGAAGCACCTGGACAGGCCTAGGGACTCATGAGGCCCCGGGCTGGACCAGCACTCAGGAGACCAGGGCATGGGGCCCTGCCAGCAAACACAGGCCCTAGGACTTGCCTTGGTCTAGTTTTCTCCCCATGGGAAGTGATCCGTGGAGGGAGGGGCGTGTCCTGGGGGGATATGGTGTAACCAGCTGCCATGTCCCCCTAGGGTAACAGGCAAGAACAGCTTCTAGAGATTGGAGGGGAAGGTTCAGCCTCCAAGGGTCAGGTAGAGGGACATTTATGGCAAATGGGTGACCGAACCCAGTCCTGTCAGCTCCCCTCCTTATGAGTGGTGAATGATAGGCTTAGGGTGAGAAGGGAGCTTCAGATGCTATGACTGTGGTGAGGATGGTGGCATTGTTCGAAGCCAAGGGGGCTAAAAGCTTCCCCAGGATTCCTCTTTGTACCATGACCCCAGGACAACTCTCATCGTATGACCTTGGCCAAGAGACATCCTTTCCCTTGATTCTGGGGGATTTGATTTGCTCCCAGGTTACCAACCTCTCCTCACCTCCAAGACTTGCCAGACCAATGCAGGGAGCAGCTAATGAGGCTTAATCACCCGGCGAGCCCCAGGTGGAGGCCTCCTGTCGGATGTTAGGCCGCCAGGCCACAGCAAGGGCCCTGGAGGGTCTTGGAGCTACCCAGTGTCTAGCTGATGAAACCCTGTCATGCCCCCCACTCCTGCCTTGGCACAGCTCCATCCTCTCTGGCCCTTTTCCCCACCATGCTTGGCACGACTCACCAAGATGGCGCCAGGAGCACAGTGTGTGCAAGGCGCCATTCTGGATGCTATGAGAACAGAAGTAGCCACGCAACAGTGTCCCTGCTCTCACTGCTGTAGCTCTGTGGGTAGACGGCACCCAGAGAGAGTGTTCAGGGAGATATCAAACAGCTCAAGCATATCCACGTCCCCAGTGGAGGAGGGGCAGGGGAGATCCCCGAAGCCAAATGAGCCTAAACGGGTGCCTCTGAAAAGGGCTGACCCAGTGTCACCAGCATTGGCCCCAAAGGCCACACTTTGCCCTCCCAGATTTGCAGCAGGCATTATCTGAGGTCTGTGACACACTGGGCTTCCACTCTCTGATTCCAAGTGAACGCCCTCTCCCAGCCCCCACGCCCAAAACCCGGGACCTGGCCTTTTGGCTCATTGGTTATTCACGACGAACGAACCGAATGCCAAGGAAGGGGACATCTCTGAAGAGGCCTTTGCAGGGAGATTTCATGTGTGCCTCGGGCCACGCGCCCTTCCATACCACACGCTGCCAGATGCCTCTTGAGCTCCATCCACGCCCACCTGCCCGCTGCGGCCGATCCCGTTCTCTCCTCCCCAGACCAGCAATGCTTGCCCACCTTCTGCGCACCAGTCGGGCCCCTGACCTCCACCACACCCCCCAAAACAACCTCACAGTGCTGTCTCCACTCTGCCAGGTCTACCCCCTCCTCACTTGTCTCTGTCGTCTTAGCCACTCACACAGCATTTGTTGTGCTTCCTAGATGTCTGTTTTTCTCTCTTTTGTGTTACTAAATCGTTTTTTACTCACGTTGTCCCTCCTTCCACCAGGAGACTCATTCCTTGAGAGAGGAGCTCATCTGTCTCCTTTCCCTCTTCCCACCTGTCCCTGTCCCAGCCCACTGCGGGCTTTCGGTCAATGCGTGTCTCTGTGTGAGGGGACGCACCCACGTATACACATCCACAAGCCATTCACACACACGGATCTGCACGTTCTCACACCCCCACAAACACACATCAGCTTCCTTCAGCACCTGAAAAGGCAGCCACCTCTGAGCACTGTGCCCACAAGTGACAGTCTGTGCATGCACATCCTGCCAGTCCCAACCCCAGGCAGGCAGAGCTGCCTCTCTGCCAGCCTCCCCGCCGGCCTGCCCTCGCCCTTCCCAACCTTCACCTTACCAAGCATGTCAGGTGGGCAGGACAGAGGCCATCATCCCACCACACCACCTGCCCAGGGCAAATGAGGAAAGCAAAGCCCAGAACAGTGAGTGGCATGACTG